GTTGCTGCCAAGGTCCCGCCAAGGTTTGTCTGAGTTGCTGCCAAGGTCCTTATCTGTTTGTTGTGCTTGGCTTTCAGCCACCGAGGTTTTGGTTTCTTGCTATTAAAGTACATTCCAGTTAAGCTTGTCTCGGCATTCGCTACTGGATGGAGGAGGGGGTCAGAACAGGGAATCTACGGTCCTCTCTGCAGGCACATGAGCTATCACTCCAGATTAGTTCAACCGCGCACGGACGTTGAACCAGCTGGTTCTCAGTTCTCTGCTGCGCATACACGGGGGACAGGGCGCATGCGGGAAATGTGCGTGCATGTGCGGGGGCAGGGGGCCGTGTGCATGTGCGGGGGTCATGCACACATGCATGGGGGATGGGGCACATGCATGGGAGTGGGGTGTGCGCATGGGGGGCACGTGGTGGTGGGGGCACACGCGCATTGCATTATCGTTGCATTTCGGCAGATGATGACAAAAAAGTTGGCCATCGCTGCCCTATTCTTTCTGGCAACCGCTCAAATATTGGAAGACTGCTATCCTGTCACCCCTAATCCTTCTCTTCACCATATTAGGCTTACCCGATTTCTGCAACCGTTTTTCATGTTTTAGCCTCCAGCCCCCTAATCATCTTTGTTGCATTTTCTTAGATAACTTTGTTATAAAGCTTTGTTGCATATGCTTCAGCACCATAATTCTTTGCCCTGTTTTTTAAGCTTAAACCTACCCTTCATCAAAAAAATAAATAAACAAAAACCGTAGGTCCAGCATGACTGAACGAAGATCTTTAATAAGCTTACGGGTCCTTTCTTATTGCAGCTGTCACTGAGACCTAGAAGAATCCCAACTTCTGATCTGTTTTAGTACCGAATCACTTCCTTACAAGTCCTGGAGTCTGTTCCAGGAATCACTGCTTGTTTTAAAAAAGACAGATTGCCCAAAATATCTATCTTGCTTAAGGTTTTATCGCGATCTCTTAAGAACGCCGGGGGGGCCATAAAGCCTTGAGAAGCGAATCACTTTTTAGAGGCTGACTATCTTTCAGGAGTCTATCACTAATCTATTTGTCATCCCCGGAACTCAACTGCTTTTAAGAATGATTGTCTGCAGCTACCAATATGAACTCTGTGGCTCAGAAAAATATTTCTGCATATGCTATCTTAGAAGAACTGATTTGTTTTTATAGGGCAGAAAAGGATAGGACAGTTTTTACTACAAAGCTAATGTCCCTTTTTCCCGATTCAACTTGACAACCTTACAAAAAACAGGATGTACAACAGGTGTGTCAAACTCAAGGCCCACGGGCCGGATCCGGCCCACAGGGTGCTTAAATCTGGCTCAAGAGTCCAGCCTGGAAATAGCAGTGCCTCTGGCATCCAAAATGGGGCATTTGGAGGGGGGGATACAGTCCCCCCCATGCTCCATTTTTGGCCTAGATGGCCTCCTGCAGAACTCTGCTGGCCAAAACAGGGCACAGGGGACTGCATAAGCCCACCCCCACACCCTGTTTTGGCCAGCAGGGTAGTGCAGGAGGCCATATAAGTCAAAAATGGGGGACTTGCGTGGCCTCCCACGCCCCGTTTTGGCTGGCAGGGTGCTGCAGGAGGTGTCTGTACCTCCTCCCTCCTCCTCAAGTCAGCCCATGGAGGAAAACTACAATGCTGATCTGGCCCACGAAGAAATCCAGTTTGACACCCCTGATACACAAGCTTTATATATATATATATCTGTGACTTTAGTCGAATGTCTGTGGATGGCAGATCACTTGATCGGCACCTGAAGAGCCTTTAGGGACACTGGTATATTTCAGAATTTAGCCTGTGAATAGACCAGGCTGTCTTTTAAAAAAATATTTTGTACCAGGGTGGATAAAAATTGATGATTGTTTAAAAAAACAAACAATTTTTTTAAAATTTTAATTGGATTTTTAAAAATTTAAATCGAATTTTAATTTTTTAAAAAAATGCTTTTGGAGTGAAAAAAAATCTATCTAAAGATAGTTTTCTATTTAAGATACATTAATAATGTAGTTTATTCAGCATGAAACAGAGCTTAGTTATATAGCACGAAGTAATATTGGGAGTCTTTGTGAATCAACAGCAGGACAGAGGAGCCGCTGCAGGAGAGAGATTGACAGTTGCTCTTTACAAATTATGATTTAAATCGACTCGATTTAGATCAAATCCACCCTGTCCTGTACAGATAGTCCTCTGACTTACAACCCTCTGCTTAGTGACCAAATTTTCACTTTACAACCTTTGCACCATCTCCATGGTCACTTGATCAAAAATTCAAACGCTTGGCAACTGGCATGTACTCGCGATGGTTGCAGTGTCCCAGTGTCATGTGATCTCCTTTTGCAAGCTTCTGACATCTCCATATTTTCCCCCGGTTTAACTTTATAACCTTACTAAAAAAAAAAGCAACGACGACATTAGCACTAACTCGGAACAAAAGCGTACCTTGTTGTCTTCCCAATAAAGAGCAAAACACTCGTCCCCCGGTTGCCAACTTTTCTCGTACTCTCCCGAAACAGGCGGCTCCAACGTTTTTTCCGGCTTGATGGGCCCAGATCGCTTTTTGGGACCGGAGTCATAGTACATTTTGACATCAAAGGGCATGGCCATATTTTGGGGAGGCATTTTAATCGGTCCGACCCGCCTCCCTTTGGGGAAATGTTCCAAATCGCCGTTTGGTATGGAACAAAAGGGATCAGTTCTAACCGGATTCGGGTAGTCTACGGGCAAACCAAATGGCTGCTCGTTTTTTAAGCCAGCAAAAGAATCATTCGCTAGGATCAACGTTTTCCTATCGCAGAAATTGTTGGGGTGATGGATCTGACTTCCTTGTTTCTTGTGGTTGTTGTCGGTTGGATCGTGGCCGGCAGAGTTCTCTTTCATTTCCACGAGCGACCCGATTTTCCCCGGCCTGTTCTGCACGGGGGTCTCCCTCCTCTTGAATGGAAGGTCCCCCGGATGACCGGCTGTAGGGTATCCAAAATCTTTCCGAGGGTAAAGTCTATCGCACTTGTTTTTCTCTTCGGTCCACTGATCGGGGCCCAGGGAATTCTGCCTTTCGGAAGGCCGGCTTCTCGGCATTCCGCTTCCGTCCGTGTTGTGTCTTGCGTTTTGACTATCTCTTTGAAAGCGCGGCGGCTTCTCGTTCCTCGGCTGCCGGGGTTCGTTTCGAGAAACGTATCTTGGATGGTTTTGTATTTTTACGCCGTTCTGCTCAGCGTTGGGCACTCTCTGGTGTCCGTGATGCTGCAATGCCACCCGTGCCTTTGGTTCTGCAAAAGAAGACACAACTTCTGACACAACTGATTTTTGACATTTATTTCACAAACAAGAGGGCAAGCTTTCAAAATACTGCCATGGTTCAATAGCAGGGGGCCCAAATAGTATAGGACAGGGGTCAGCAAACTGCGGCTCTGGAGCCGCATGTGGCTCTTTCTTCCCTCTGCTGCAGCTCCGTCACCAATCGGCACAATTTTGAGAGGAACTTCTGGGGGGGGGGGAGGGAGAAGCACAGTGCGCCTGGAAAGACTCTATGGCAAGGGGAGGGTTTTCCAACTTATTTCCAGTTGTCTCCACAATTGATAGGGCTTTCGGTTATGACAGGTAGAGGAAAAAGGACACCACACTAGGAGGAGACTCTATGGTGGGGGAACTGAACTTCCGGTCAGCTCCAGAATTGAACAGGGGGCTTCCAGTTAGGACCTTGGGGGCTTCCAGTGTTTTTTCTGTCGGGAAACGGCACTTTGAGTGTTTAAGTTTGCCGACCCTTGGTATAGGGCACTGATGGCCACTGTTCCCTCTAAGGTGCGCGCGTGCGCGGCCGCGCACG